AAAGGACTCAATGAATTTAATCAAAAATAACATAGAACAAGCATGTGACTATTGCCCAGGCCAAAAATAACATGTGACTATTGCCCAGGCCAAGCATGTGACTATTGAAGTCAAATCAAAGGATAATAGTTATAAATACTGAGATCATAAAACATTTGAATTAGTTTCACAAAGTTCAAAAAAAAAAAGAACGTTGAATTTTATAAAAGGTAAGATTCAGCATTTCAAAAGTTACAGTGAATATTACAAATGTTCAAAAACAACAGATTGAAACAATTAGGTGGTGATGATGGTAGTGGTGGTGGTTTTTTATTTTAAATATTTTTCCTTTAATCATGTTTTAAGTTATTAGAGAACTTTACTCAGGTTATTAACCCAAAGTTGTAAAAAAGACTCCATATGTGGCCCCAACAATGCACACTAAAAGCGCTGGAACATCTTTAATACACAACATGGCACTGTTAATACTGGGGTATTTAGCACTCGGAATCAGAAAAAAATAAGGACCTTAAAGTAATTTTAGTCAAAATCAGATCAGCACATTTTTTACAAAAATATAGAAACCAGGTTGACAAAAAACCTTCATATTTTCTTCATGTAGGTGGCTATAGATAACATCACATATAATACTTTGCAATATTTTGGTATCAATAGGGTTTTTGAGATATAGTTACTTTTTTTAAAATATATATATATATTTTTTCATTTTGATTTTACTATAGTTTTTGCTTCAGGATTATTTTTTAACTTGTGATCAAGCTGAAAAATATTACAGTTTTGAAGATATGTAATCTCAATACAATACTTGTTTTTTTTTTATAAAAATTAGAATAATTTCAAAATTTGGATTTTATTTCACCTTTAGTCTATATTGGAAAATGTAAAATAAGCAGAACGGATGCCATTTTTTTTGTAAAGTTTTTTTCTTTTATATAAATAGATATTTTAAAGAGTGTTTTGGTGCAAAACTAAGAGGTTTTTTCAAAAAAAAGATAAATAATATTTTTGTTTTCGATTGATTAATACATAAGATTGATTTGCTTATCTATTTAGATATGTATCCAAGACATTTTGGTATAGCCAGGGTTAGTGCTCAATATAACTATCGAGATAAAAGAATGCTTTTAGAGTTTAATCATCTGAGTATCCAATAGTTTTAACATTATGTTCAAGTATTTTATTGTCGTCTCATATAGATATTAAAGAGTTTTGGACCTAGGACTATGCCTTGCTGTGCTCCGTTTTTACATTTTGGTTCATGGAATTTGAGTTTCCAATTTTATCTTTTTTGGAACAGTTAACTAAAAATGATTCAAACCACTTGTGAGCTGAGTCAATACACCTATTTCACTAGTTAATAACCCAAGTGGTTTTTGCTGATCAATAGTGTCATAGGCATCCCCCAGATTAAGTAACATTAGTACTGGAGGTGTATGTTTATAAAAGAGTTTAATTATATCATTGGTAATCTAAAGTAAAGTGTTTCAGTCGAGTAATGTTTTTTGTTTATTGATATTCTTTATGAATGTTTTTGTTGTCATGTGGGAATCATGGTGATTGGAAACTACTCTTTCTATTTGCTTGTTAATGAGTACTAAATTAAAAACTAAATTAGAAATTTTAGAAGTTTTTAGTATCTGTGGCAGTCTAACTTCTTTATTATTGAAAGTAATGTAGCACTTTTTAGACAACTTATGCCGCTTATTTCTAGTGATAGGTTAACTATTTCAACCCATACATGTATAAATATTTGTAAATTATTCCTTAGTAAATAGATTCCTAGATATTTTCCTTAGTAGATATATTCCTTAGTAGATATATTATTCCTCCAGAATGTTTTACTCCAAATGACATGGTTGTTTTGTAAATTTCTTAGTATGTTGTTTGATTAATGTTTGTTAGTTAGTTCTTCATCTGAATTGGCTGATGGTTGTGCATATTGTTGAGTTTTATTTTTGTATTATTGTTTTCAGAAGTCATCCATGTCTGCATTCCAGTAAAGTATATGCTTTACTACAACTGGAAGTTTATTAGTAAGAGAGATGTTTTTCACATTTAACACATATAGGATCTTGTTTGTTACATTTATTTACATAATTCCCAAAGCTTTGACATTTAAAACAACACATTATATTAAGTTTGTCATGGAAACAGGAAGTTAAAAACCTTCTAGTAATATTTTACTTATTTTTGCAAAGACTTGAAACATTGGTGGTTTATTTTTTATCGGTTTGAGAGCTTCTATTTTAAATCACTGATAATAATTTTTTACATCTTTAATTGATATGATTTTATTTTTACTTGATTGTTCGTTAACTTGAGAGAAGGATGAAGCAATTGGTTTTTAGAGTCTTCAGAATTAGTACAAGATCACCTGATTTATTATGATATGAATTTTTCAATTGAATTTTATTTTTCATGGCAATATTTTTGATTATGTTATTTTTATTAACTACTTCATCAGATATTATGTTATATCATTATATTTTATCCTGTAACTAAGAGTAACTAGGATATTCTTCCTGTAACTGAGAGGGTGGTGTTAGAGTATTCATCTTTTTTTGTTAAACAATGAACTATTTTTTTCTTATTTAGTATTGCTTGTGCTTTTTATAGCAGTTGTTTTATATCATTGAGCTAAGTTTTGATATCAGTAATATTACATTCTAGAGTGTTCAGCCTCAATGTTTCTGATTTAGATACACTTATTTCGAGGTTGGTTAGGCAGACATAACAAAAGAATAGAGAGTTTTTCTTTGTTGAAGGGAGAAGAAAATTTGAAACTCTGGTTTTTCTTGCTACTTTATCTTTTTTTTAAATAGATGAGCAAACAATGTGAAACCTTGATTTGCATACAAAACTCTGAACATTTTCTATTACTAATGCTGTATTTTGGCAGGCAGGGCAATCAAAATTATTGTCTAATTTGCTGGTAATCTTCAATTTTTTGCCTTTTTTCTTGGTGTGTTTTTTTAGAGAGAGAACTACTTTTTGTAGGGAAAGCTAACACCTTTTTGCAGTGAATTATCTCCAGGTCCAGATCTATTATACATTATTATTACCTAAAACTTATCACACAGGGACTAAAAAGTTTCAGTGTTTTTTCCATAGTTTTTATCTCTTTTTTTTTTTTTAATAAAGAATTAAATTTCATGAATTTAAAAAATCAATATTACATATAACAGAAAAATGTGGAATTAACTAAAGTTTTTTTGTTTTTAATGTATTAAAAAATTTATGCGTTTAGGAAGAAGATGGAGGGGGGGGGGGGGGGATGATTTTGTAATAAACAAGACATATGTATGCAGAGGTGAGGAGGTCATTTAAATTAAACAGGTGCGTTCAAGTGGAGAGGGAGGGTCCTAAACAACTGGTTTTACTGCATTAGTACTTTTTGGATGGCCTCTAAATAGGTTTTAACAATAACGTTTGATATTTATAGTTCAGATCCCTTAATAAGAATTTTTTTTCTCTCTCTGAATAAGTTGATATATCATTCAACCCGCTAAATTTGTTGTATGCCATTTTATGATATCATTTTACAAAATACTAACTATACACAAAATATTCTTCATTTTGTTATCATTCTTTTTGTGTCAATAATTTTGTGTCTATAGATTAACACAAATTACGCAGACTTGTATACTTTTAAACTGAGGAAATCTTTATCATTAATATTTTCTTACATCATGGTTGCATCATCGTCATGGTTGTATCATCATCATCATCATAATGGTTGTATCATCATCATGGTATCATCACTATGATTGTATCATCATCATGGTTGTATCATCATCGTTTGTATATTTTTTCTAATTTTATTTTATAATAGCTTGTTTTTTTTTTGTTTTGTTTAATGATTAACTAGGGAGAAAGAAGAATGTTGTTGACTAATACTAAGCAGGCTTTATGATCATGGGTACAATTTAACACAATCAAAATGCTCAACATGTATGTAAATTACAGCAATATATGTGATTAGGCTAATTTTCAGCCTAATCACATATATTGCTGCTAATTTTCAGCTTGATTACAAATATAGTTGTATAGTATGTATATACTCATAAAACAAAAACAACAGTAAAATTAATATTGCTGCAAAACAAAAAAATTCCCCAAAATAAATGGTTTTAAAAAATCAATATCTCAACAACAAATTTTGTGTTGAATTTTTGCATTTCAATTGCAATTTCTGGAAATACATAATTTTTTTTGTAATTTTTACATCAAATAATTTAAACATAATCAATTATAAATAATTATCATTCATCAAATTCTCAACGCTATATTAAGTTTAGGCATTATTATGGGTGAACAACAAATTTTTTTTTATTTGTACGCGTGTATTTATTTTAACTATTTTAACTAAAAGTCTAGTGTAATTTAATAAAATAATTTTTTTGTATTTAAAAATTAAAAAAAAACCTTATTTAAATATTAATATTTCCTTATATTTAAAAGAATGCCTGCCAAAACCTAAACCCTCAGTTGATATATATACACTCCACTGTACCTATCCCAATTTAAGTCAGTCAATGTATGTGCTATCCACTGTGACTATGATCTTATCGATTTTTGTATTCATTGATACTGAAACTTTAAAAAAAAAAAAAAAAGTAAACACAACTATAAATAAACAAAAAAAAAAAGGTAAACATAACTATAAATAAACAAAAATAAACAAAAAATAACAATAAGAGTTTAAAAACCGCGCCTCACTTTAGAAACATAACATCTATTTTAAATATATAATATTTTATAAATTTTTGGAATAGAAATAATTTTCCATTATGTGCACATAATAGAAAATTATTTCTATGCCAAAAATAGTATTTTGTACACGCAAACAAATAATAGATTTCTTTTCAAACCCATTAGATATTCTTTATAACTTATAATGCTAATTTCAGATATTTCTTAAAAATATTTTCAGATCAAAAAAAATTTTAAGTTTTATGATTAGTACTTTAGTATTTATATGGTTTTTTTCTTTTTTATAGGAGGTGGTGGTGGACTGGGAAAGCAACTTGCTGTAAATTTTGCTAAGTGTGGGGCACGGATAATTCTTTGGGATATTCACACTGGTAAAAATTATATAATTTAAGTGGATTCTTATAAAACAATTTTTTTTTTAATGATTTTTTCATATTTAATATTAGAAAGCAATGAAAGTACAGCATCTTTATTAAAAGCCATGAGATGTGAAGCATTTTCATACACTTGCGATTGTGGTAATGAAGCTCAAGTCAAAGAAACTGCTCTTAAAGTGCAAAATGAAATTGGTCATATCGATGTGTTGGTAAATAATGCTGGAATAATGAATGCAAAAAGCATCACCATGCAAACTGAAGAGCAGATTAGAAAGACATTTGATACTAATGTATTATCACATTTTTGGGTAAGTTTTTATGTTTTACATAAGAGAAAGTCTTATTTAAAAGAAAGTTTTTATATCTTATGTAAAAGAAAGTTTTTTATGTCCTATATGAGAGAATGTTTTTGTCTTATATAAGAGAAAGTTTTTATGTCTTGTATAACACTAAAAAATGGTGTAAAAATAAAAGTAAATACAGGTAGTAATTTAATAATTTTTGTTTTTAGTTAAAATAGTATAATTAATTTAGATGTTATTATAATAATTAGATATTATTATAAAATATAAAATGCATAATTAAATAATATTAAATTTGAATATTATTACAAGATTATTATTATGGAAATATCAAATCCAGTTCAAAATATCAAATCCAGTTCAAAATTAGCAAATCCAGTTCAAAATATCAAATCCAGTTCAAAATATCAAATCCAGTTCAAAATATCAAATCCAGTTCAAAATATCAAATCCAGTTCAAAATATCAAATCCAGTTCAAAATTAGTAAATCCAGTTCAAAATATCAAATCCAGTTCAAAATATCAAATCCAGTTCAAAATATCAAATCCAGTTCAAAATATCAAATCCAGTTCAAAATTAGCAAATCCAGTTCAAAATTAGCAAATCCAGTTCAAAATTAGCAAATCCAGTTCAAAATTAGCAAATCCAGTTCAAAATTAGCAAATCCAGTTCAAAATTAGCAAATCCAGTTCAAAATTAGCAAATCCAGTTCAAAATTAGCAAATCCAGTTCAAAATTAGCAAATCCAGTTCAAAATTAGCAAATCCAGTTCAAAATTAGCAAATCCAGTTCAAAATTAGCAAATCCAGTTCAAAATTAGCAAATCCAGTTCAAAATTAGCAAATCCAGTTCAAAATTAGCAAATCCAGTTCAAAATTAGCAAATCCAGTTCAAAATTAGCAAATCCAGTTCAAAATTAGCAAATCCAGTTCAAAATTAGCAAATCCAGTTCAAAATTAGCAAATCCAGTTCAAAATTAGCAAATCCAGTTCAAAATTAGCAAATCCAGTTCAAAATTAGCAAATCCAGTTCAAAATTAGCATCTTCTGCTGTTGCTTTATATGCATGCTATTTTTATGCTTCTGATTCCATACTCCACATTTATATATCTTTTATGTGTCCTTGTGTATTTTCTCTTTTGTGAGGTGTTAAAGGGCATAATAAACATAGTTGGACCTGTTCAGCAGCTAAACTTTAGCTTATATAACATCATTTTAGGATTGTGCCATGTTTACTTGTTAAGTGAGTTATTGTACTTTGTTCCACCTACCAAAACTGAAAAGATAAAAAAACAAAATTGTAACTGTCTCTAACTTTTATATTTGTTCTTAAATGTTGTAACCATTACTTCTATTTAAATGTTGTATTTAAATGTTTTAATCATTACATTAACTGTTCCTTACTATTGTAACTGTTTCTAACTTTTATAGCTGTTCTTAAATGTTGTAACTGTTTCTAACTTATATAGCTGTTCTTAAATGTTGTAACTGTTATTAACTTTTATAGCTGTTCTTAAATGTTGTAACTGTTTCTAACTTTTATAGCTGTTCTTAACTGTTTTAACTTATTCTAAATTTTATAGCTTTATACTCAAAATAATTTTGACTTTTAACACTCCATTCTGTTTAAATGTGAATTTGTTTCTTTTTTTTTTTTTTTTTTATAAATTTTTTGTGAATATATTTTTATTTTTTATTTTTTGTAATGATGTAAAAAGTTTGTAACCAATGATGTAAAAAAATATTTATATTATTGTAAAAAAATATTTACATCATTGGTTATTTAATTGAATTTTTTAATAATATAATTATTTCTAAAATTGTTATTTTAGACTACTAAAGCATTTCCTCCATCAATGATCGAGCAAAATGATATAATATAATTATTTATAAGATTGTTGTTTTAGACTACTAAAGCATTTCTTCCATCAATGATGAAGCGAAATGATATAATTAAAAATTATTTATAAGATTGTTGTTTTAGACTACTAAAGCATTTCTTCCATCAATGATGGAGCGAAATGATATAATTAAAAATTATTTATAAGATTGTTGTTTTAGACTACTAAAGCATTTCTTCCATCAATGATGGAGCGAAATGATGGACATATTGTAACTATTGCATCTACTGCTGCTATAAATGGTTCCCCATATTTATGTGATTACTCTGCTTCTAAGTATGCATTAATTGGCTATCATGAATCACTGACTCTTGAACTTCGTGAGCAGGGATTTACTAACATACGAACAACATGTATTTGTCCTAATTTTATTAACACTGGATTGTCTGTCAAACCAAAAACTAAGTAAGTTATTTTAGTATTGTGAATCTTTTACTATAAAAGATTTTTTATACTTGTTTACAATCAACCCAATATCTATCTATCCAATATAATCCAATATAATCAATATAAAGTTATAGTAATTTACTAGTTTAACTTTTTACATAAATCAATTGACTTAAATAAAATATGCAAGGAGTGTAAATACATTGACTCAAGGTTTGAGGCCTGGCAATTCTAGTGCTAACCCTAACTCTTACCCTAATGCATGTTCACTCCTTGTGTGTTTTCCCTATTCAAGTCAGTTAATGTATGTACATTTTTCTGGATGTTTTCCCTACATAAGTCAGTCAATGCAATATATCAATTTAGTATCATTTACAATACAAAATATCACAATTGATATTACCACAAGGCAAAATATAACAATTGATATTACCACAGGGCAAAATATCACAATTGATATTACCACAGGGCAAAATATCACAATTCACTATGTTAAATATGAAAAAGATTAGATTTTATAAATTTCTTATTTCTATCCTATATAAGAATTTCACAAAATTCTTATATAGGACTTACATAATTGTGTTTAACTTTATAAACATCAGGGTTGGGGTACATTTATTTGATTAAATACAAATACAAACACCTTAATTCTCAATTTCTGAATTCAATTACAAATTTATATAATCAGCATATTTTAAATACAAATATTATAAGACAGAAAAAAATACAAAGACAATAAAATTACTCATTTTACTAAAAAAAAATAGTTGATAAAATGGTATATTAAATATAAGAATAAAAACAAGTAAAAACAAAATAAAAAATATTTTACTGTTAAAAATGAAAAAAAAAACTAATTTCTTGTTGTTTTTTTTTAATAAAAATACCATTCAACCCAGTTTATGGAATTACAAATACATTTCAATCAATTACAAATGTTTTGGAAATTTTTTAATCAAATACAAATATAAATTTGACTATTAACAAACAAAAATATGTATTTGACCCTAACCTTGATAAACATTTTTTGAAAATTCATCAAATTCATCAATGCATTTCCTAGGTCAACATTTAAAAAAAGTTTTTCAATTTTGTTTTTATTGAATCTCCAGGATTTGAGAAAACATACAGAATTTGTCTTGCTTTTAAAATAAAAAAAAAAAGTTAGATTTGAATCATTTAGGCAAAAATAGTTTAAAAAACTTCTGTTAAATTAGCAATAAATTTTTTATAAGTTAATTTCTTGCACCATTAAAACTTATATTTATTTCACTTTGTAGGATTTTTTACTATTAAATGTAAGTATATAGTTTTATAAAATTTTAAAGCAAAGATAATTTTTAAAATTAAATACTCTGATACAAGCTTTTTCACCAAGCAGTTCTGTTAGTTGAACAGCAAAAAATCTTTTTTCACCAAGCAGTTCTGTTAGTTGAACACCAAGCAGTTCTGTTAGTTGAACAGCAAAAAATCTTTTTTCACCAAGCAGTTCTGTTAGTTGAACACCAAGCAGTTCTGTTAGTTGAACAGCAAAAAATCTTGGAATTAGTATTATGGTACAAATTAAATTTTTTTTCATTTGAAAAATGTTTTGAACACTATAAATAAATATTTACAATAATAATATCTAACATATACACTTACAAATATTGAATTTGAGAGTTCAAATAAATAATAGATAAATGAAAGAGCTAAAAGACTGTTTAATCCATCAAGTTGAGTCAGATTTCATAGGCTAGAATCCTTTTTTATTTATTTCTAGTACCATTGTTGAGTTGGCTACCTTGTGGACCTGACCCTAAAAAATTTGTAGGTTCAGTATATAAACTACTTTTTTTCATTATTTTTAATTTTTCTTCTTTTTCCAAAAAAATCTTATGGAAGTAGGATAGTTAAAAATATCGATAAATATATATCTATATGCACTATGATATATATATATATATATATATATATATATTATATATATATATATATATATATATATATATATATATATAGTTTGATTGGTTATTTACCAAGTTATTTTGTAATAAATATATTGGTTCATTATGTAAATTTTTGTCCGTTATTATTTCTCTGTAAAGGCTTCTATTTTTTATATTTATTTCAGAGTTTTATTATTGTAAAATAATCTTTGGAAAATGTAAATAAATTTTACAAAACATGTCGAGAATAAAAAATATTGTGTTATTTTTAAAAATTATTACTTATTTTATGCTATTATCACAATATATATATATATATATATATATATATATATATATATATATATATATATATATATATATGCGGTATTGGTGTAGTGGCAAAACACTTGCTTCATAAGCAAAAGGTTCCGAGTTCAATCCCCACCACAACCCTGGTAGTACCGCGCTCAACTTGTTTCTCCGCGCAGCGGCCTTGTTCGTCAAGGTTCGTGTTTCGGAGTTATAGAGTTGAGAGAGGGTTATAACCACTATTAAGTAGCCTCCTCGTCTGTAGAGGCCTTCTCGGCCTTGAGGAGGTGAATAACAACAAAAAAAAAAAAAAAAAAAATTATTTATATATATATATAAAATTAAAAATACATCATATACGGTGACATACTATTTATTTAACTATTAAAATTTTTAAATTTTAAATGTGATATTTTGGCTGATATAATTGGAGCCATTTTTAAACTTAAATATATTGATTATATATATATATATATATATTTATATATATATATATATATATATATATATATATATATATATATATATATATATATATATATATATATATATATATATATATATTATCATTATATTGAGATATATATACATATATATATATATATATATATATATATATATATATATATATACATACACACACACAAACACACGCACACATACACACACACACACATACACAGTCCCCGATCAAATTATTAGTCCATGTTGATATTTTTTGTGTTTTTTATCTTCTTAGAATTAAAACTTGAGTTTTTATAAAAAAGCAGATAAAAGTTTTATACATAAATAAATTATAACTATTTTCTAACATAAGATACACAAAATAACAATAAGATTATGTTTATTAACTTTTTTAAAATTTTGTTGATCCTACCTTATTTTTTATAACTGCGCAAAGTCGATTTATCATGCTATAAATGCCATTTCTTTCAAATTTTAAAGCCATTTCTTTCAAATGTGCCAAATAACTTTTTCAATTAATTGGGTCCTATTTATTAACTTTTCTAGCTAAATTTCTCTTTTTATTAGCTCTCATATATTTTTTATGGGGTTTAGATCTGTAGAGTTCCCTGGCCAATCCAAAAAAATCACTAAGTTTCAACATTGGAAAATTAGTAAAAACCTTATTTATGTATTATAATGACTTGCTGATTTCCAGTCATCAACAGTCAAATTACTGGATTTCTTTGCCCAATCCAGGCACTTCTTTCTCTGAGATTTGGTTAAGTTTGGCTTTTGTGATGGCCTTCTACTTTTGATGCCCAATCCATAAAAACTTTGTAGAATAGTTATTGTTGCTACATTTAGTTCCAGCTCATTCAACTTGCTAGTAACTGCTGAGTATGTTGCAAATCTATTTTCTTTCACTATTTTCACTACCTTCCTCTCATTTCTTGGTGTTATTTTTTTTTTTTTGACCACATTTGCCTTGCCTCTCAATATCTAATAGGAGGCCATTTTTCAATTTGTCTTTGATTATGTTTAATATCTTGATATCTCACATTTTCTTGATATTTTACTTATCCAGTAATGCTTATCTTTCAGAAGATATCGCATAATTTTTTTTTTCAGAACTGATGTCTTTTTTTTTCCCCATTTTGTTATTTAGAACTTTTAGACAATTTTTGTCTAAAAGTTCTAAATAACAAGTATATATATGTATATATGTATATATGTATATATATATATATATATATATATATATATATATATATATATATATAATGAAAAGCAAACATCAAGTTCGCCATTTTTCCCTAACTTTAACAAGTTTATAAAACAAACCTGGCAGTTTACCATTTTTGTTTTTAAGTTAAATATTGAATATTTATTTTGCAATATTTTTAATGCTAGGAAACAGTTCTTTATATTTTACAGTGAGAAGATGTAAAAGTATGACGAATGAAACATACAGTAGTAGTAGCTACTGTTTCATACAGTAGTGCATCATTACTGTTTTATACAGTAGCACATCATTACTGTTTTGAAATACCAACAGTTAGTTGGTTAGTATTTCAAAGCAATAATGATGCACTTAAACACTATAAACATATGAAGATTGATAAAACAAATTAAAATTTCTTCTAATAAAAAAAATGGTTTGAAATAATGTTATCAAAATAATAAGCAAATTAGTTAGTTATCAATAAAAAAATCTTCAATTTTATTTTTACAAAGTTTTTTTAAACCATGTAGCTCTATTTTTTAATCAACTTTCTTTTAATTATTGATCAATTAATCATCTTTGGTTTAATATAAACATTTTGATCCATTATGATTAATAGTTCTTCAACTAAACATAAGAACAAAATAAAAAATGTTATAAACCTGTCTTAAAACATTTTTCAACTTTTGTATTTTTGTCAAGTTTCAGTGATTTTAGTGAAAACTCCTCAGTTTTTGACATGGAATTGCTCTTGAGGCAACTTTTCATACATTTCTTATTTTTTTTGTTCTCTCAATGACTACTATTTACTTCAAAGTACTGCAAACATGATTTGATAGCAAGATGCTGCAGTCATGATTTGATAGCTCAACATCTTTCTTTGATAGCAAGATACTGCAAACATGATTTGATAGCTCAACATCTTTCTTTGATATCAAGGTACTGCAAACATGATTTGATAGCTCTACATCTTTCTTTGAAAGCAAGATTTTGAAAAACATGATTCGATAGCTCAACATCTTCCTTTGATAGCAAGATACTGCAAACAGGTACTGTAGGATTTGATCAACATCTTTCTTAGGCACAGTTAAGTTTAAGCAGAGTTGTTCCCAGAAACAAAATCTAGATAATAATTTTAAAGCTTTTACATTTAATCTATTTTTTTCCTAAAAAGCATCATTTATGGAACAAAATTTTTTTTTTTTATATTATCTGTGCTAATGTTTAAGTTTTTTCAGAATTTATCAGAAGGTTGTCTCAATAACAATTCTACGCAGTATAATGTCAAGTAATTCATCAGACAATACACATTTTGAGTTTTTTGAACAGGGTCTTTTCATTTAAAAGACATCATCAAAGTAAATTATATAATAAATCGTATATTGCTGCTAGAGTTATAACAAACCTCTTTTTAATCTAATTTGAAACTGAGAAATGCATAAACAACATTTAAATTGCTTTAAATAGTGCAAAATCAAAGGTTTTTAAAACAAGCCCGTCATAGCTTCTTCATGCAAACTGATATATAAGTTATATCCAAAAATAAATAATTTTAAATATTAAATTCTTGAAAGACTTTTTAAAAGCGACTCAAAATAAACTACAAAACAAAGGAACAAAAAGGAAAATACAAATTAATTTTTAAAGAATTTGTCTTACATTTGCATGAGTTTAACACAATGTTTTAATGACTTCTATACAATGAGTTCTATGTTTTTATAGAAAAGATAGTGTAGAGTGGGTGTGTTTAGAATTATTTGCAGCATTTTTATCTTTATTGATAATTTAGTTGCTAAATATTTTTCTTTTCATATTTAAAAAACGAAGCCTTGTAAATAGTTTCAAATTGTTTATTAATATATTTAATTAGAGGCGCAACAAAAACAAAATGTCCATAATAGTCCCCCCCCCCCCCTATCCTAACCTAATCTCCCACTTGTCTTAGACCACGAAGCTAAATCAAATTCATTTATTAGCTGATTTTTTTCTTTCTTAGAAAATTAAAAACAAAAACGTGTTTTTTAACACTAAAAGTATATTATATTGTTTTTACATAATACCAAAACTGTATGTTTATATTGCATATTTTACAATTAGCAAAGCTGTCACTAGAAAAAAAGTGAAAATGCGTATGCAGTTTTTACTCATTCTTTTAAAAAAATAATGCTGCAGCTTTTTTTTTACAGCGTTCCTTGGTTGATACCAATTTTACAAGCATCTGAAGTTGCAAAAGCTATTGTAAATGCTGTCAGAACCAATCAAGATATGTTGATTTTGCCCAAAATATTTTATGCAATCACAGTCAAAAGGTATTTCTTTAGTATATTAAAATTGAACTCAAATTTCATAATATACTTGTTAAAATATATTTTGAAGTTGTTTTAGTTTATTTTCATAAAAGTTGTTTTCAGAAGACAGAAATTTTATTAGTTTGGTTGCAATTTCCACTGCTGCATATCGTTAGTTTTTAAAATCTATAATTCCAAACAATGTCAATGTTTGGAAATATTTTTTTTTGGATGTTCACATTATAAGTTGATTATGCCATTGATAAGTTTATAAACCTTTTGAAAAACTATTAAAAATTATGAAATTTTCACAAAAATTAAAATATATTTTATTATATAGTTTTCAATATTTTTAATTTTTTAATAAATTTTCTCTTAAATAAAATAGAAAAACAAATTTTAATTAAATATATAGTTTTTGAACCTTTTGGTTCGAAGTGTGATAACTCAAAAAAGTCTTTAAAATCTCAGTAAGGTTGAGAGGTAATATGTAAGATAGAATCTTACATTATACTTCTAGAAGATGGAATCTCAGGAAGTAAGATGGAATTTCTTGATGGAATCTTAAGATGTAAGATGGAATTTGATTTTCATTTTTGATTAGTAGATTTTGGAACATGTTTCCCATCTTTAGGGAGATCTTTAATCATCTTTGACATCTCTAACAATCATCTTCAACATCTCTAGCAATCATCTTTGACATCTAACAATCATCTTCGACATCTCTAACAATCATCTTCAACATCTCTAACAATCATCTTCAACATCTCTAACATTCATCTTCAACATCTCTAACAATCATCTTCAACATCTCTAACAATCATCTTCAACATCTCTAGCAATTATCTTCAACAACTCTAGCAATTATCTTCAACATCTCTAACAATCATCTTCAACATCTCTAACAATCATCTTTGACATCTCTAACAATCATCTTCAACATCTCTAACAATCATCTTCAACATCTCTAGCAATTATCTTCAACATCTCTAACAATCATCTTCAACATCTCTAACAATCATCTTCAACATCTCTAGCAATCATCTTCAACATCTCTAACAATCATCTTCAACATCTCTAGCAATCATCTTCAACATCTCTAACAATCATCTTCAATATCTCTAACAATCATCTTTGACATCTAACAATCATCAAATTTGAAAATGTATAAATTATGTTTTGCCTAAAGAAATCATTTTTAAGCTAAACGTTTTTATTTGACATTAGTATAAGTATGCAACGGGCTTTTTTATTTTTGTTTTAGATTGATTCCATTTCGCGCTCAATTGGCGATTCATGACTATTTAGGGATTGGAATTGAACCTAAAAGTACTAAACGAACAAAAAAAACTACAACTTGATATTGAAATTTTAAATCGACGATTCTGGTTTATTCCACAATTCTATTCTGTATTATCTATACTAATTAATATTCAAACCAAGTTACAGTTGAAGAACTAGTGAAAACCCAAAAGATATTTAGTATGTTGTTATAAATAGTTGGAGTTTCTTTATGTTTAATAAATGCGGGCATTTATAATTTTATATTTTCCCATTTTTGAAATGATGGTTTTACCTTATTACGTTTTAATAAAATTTTCATTTTTATCAAAACCACATAAATAACTGACAAATGGCTATTTTGAATTGGTTTGGCGCGATTCTTTTAGATAACGTTTTATTTAGATTACATATATAACTATATAAAACTTTTGTCGATAACAAATTATTTCTAAGACTTCTATTTATATAAAATTTCACTTTTTTTCTTTCAAATCGCATCACTACGTTGCATGACAAAAAAAGAATAACGGGAAAAAGTAGTAAAATTTATACTATGATATTTAAATTTTTGGTTGATTGAAATAATATTTAATCTTTGTAAAACGCCATTTGTAAATTAATTGTGAGTTTTTATGTAAATATCTTTTAAAAAATAAATTAGTTTTTATTCTTCATTTATCGATTGGAGACTATTGTTATTCATATATTCTTCATATATTGTTTGAACACGTTTATTATTCATACATTCTTCATATATCGATTGAACACGATGAAGCTCTTTTAACCGCTAATTGCTAAAAAACTACTCAAAAATGTAATAAAAAATTTTTTACACATGGAAGTTAAATAGGCATTGTTTAATTGTAATGGTATTGGTTATTATTGTTATCAGATCTATTCATCTCTCTCTCTCTCTCTCTCTCTCTCTCTCTCTCTGCACTGAGTGCAAAACTTGTTGAAAAGCAAGTTTTGCATCTGAGCTTGTAATGGTATTAGTTATCATTGTTATCAGATCTATTCATCTCTCTCTCTCTCTCTCTCTCTCTCTCTCTCTCTCTCTCTCTCTCTCTCTCTCTCTCTCTCTGCACTGAGTGCAAAACTTGTTGAAAAGCAAGTTTTGCATTTGAGTTTATTCTAAATCATGATTCATTTAAATTTTTTTCCTCAATACTTTTTTGAATAAAACTAGGAACAACATCAGAATTTAAATTTTCTAAAAAGCTGGAAATACTGTTTTTCTTATCTCCATCAAATATCTAATAATTTTATCGTCTCCTCAAATTTTTCACTAACCAAACTTTGTTTATTTTCCTTATAAACTTTTTTCTTACTTCACTTTTTATTTTGCAAAAATTTTTTAGCGCGACATTTTTAGAACTTGTAATCCTTTCTGATCATTAAAAAAATAAAAATTTTTCCAATGGCGGATTAAGACTTCTTGGGGCCCGGGGCTATTTTTATTTTTGAAGACCTTTTTATGGGCCAGAGCCTAAAAATGACTATAAAAAAAAAAAAATAAGGTCCTCTAAACTTTTGGGGGGCCCGGGGCTGAAGCCCCCCCCCCCCTCCCTCCTAGATTCGGCACTGATCTTGTCTACTATTTAAAACTTTCATCTTTCAAGATGATATCTTCACAGTTTTTTTAAATTTTCATCAGATTTATTCTCTTCTTTTAAAAACCACATTTTTACCTGGATGGTTTTCAAGTTAGCTTATTTTCTTTCTACTCTTTTTTAAGTCAATAATCTTGTCTCTAAATGGCAAGTAGAATAATTCATTAAAAATTAACTAAAAACTCATTTATCTTGATATTTTTAATTATGAAAATATATTACTATATTATTTAGTCAATTTAAATTCGGATTGAAATGTAAATTTATACGTATTTTACTATAATATAGTAAACATCTGATATGCTGGTCAGTATTTTCTTCACCTCATAAACGACGCATAGTAAATTTTTTAACCATGAGACACCTTCCTATTTCAATGTATTAAGCCGTAAAAAAATCACTAGGTAGACTAAAGGTAAAGTAATTGTAGAAAATTAACACATAGCACATTCTCTGTAATACAGTTTTCTTAATAAGCAAGTTATGGGTTATGTTATGTTATGGGTTATATATTATGTGTTGTATGATAAATTTAATTCTTTTTCCAACATAAAAAACTTTACAATGAGATATTTTTTGGCTTGTAGACATTATTTTTATTTAATAATCAGTGTCATTATATTCATTTGTGAACGTCATGTTCTTCCTTGCAACTCATGGAGAAAATGAAACTATTGGACCACCAAATAATGATAACTATGTAGGCATGCTGTAGCTCATAGCAGACAATTTTTCGAAACAGCACATACAATTGTATGTGCTGTTTCAGAAAATTGTCTGCTATGAGCTACAGCATGCCTAATTTACAACATACCTTTGTAAAAACCATGCTAATCGTCGAAGTGAGCATGTTAACTATGTACTAATATAATAGCTATGTAATAACTATGTAATGTAATAACTATGTAAATAAAAATGTAATAACTATGTTAACTAATGTACAGCATGCCTTTGTACAAACCTTGCTAACCATCGAAGTGAGCATGTTAACTATGCATGTATGTATGTATGTATGTATGTATGTATGTATGTATGTATGTATGTATGTATGTATGTGTGTATGTATGTGTGTATGTATGTGTGTATGTATGTATGTATGTATGTGTATTAAGGTGGGTCGTACTTTTAAAATTTTGAATATGGGAACGCACGCAACAATTTTTTTATGTATTAGGATATTAGAAGAGACGTGAATAATTTTTTTTTTCTTAAAAAGTTCATCTAGTGTGGGCGCAGGCCGTTTGAAAAATGTCAGTTTTACGAAAAGCTCATCATATTGGCATTTTTCGGCCTTTTTTATACAAGCCAAAGGTAAGGCAATTATCAAAAAACAATCAGACATAAATAGACATAAAAATAAAACATAATATTCGGTGCTACTTTTCTTAATGCTATACAAATACGGAAGACGTATGAAAAAATGTCTACCATTATGGATTTTACAAAAAAAAAAATCTATATATAAATGTTAGAAATGGGATGGCGCGCAATATTTTTTTTATGTATTAGGATATTTGAAAAGACGTGAATAATTTATTTTTTCTTAAAAAGTTCATCTTTTGTGGACGCAGGGCGTTTAAAAAATGTCAGTTTTTTCGAAAAACTCTAAAAAAATTAGTATTAACTTATTATTGTTATTTTCAATGCGCATAATGCTAGTAGTATAAAATGAGGTGAATCATAATCATCATAGTCAGTATAATTTTTTATTTTTTATAAAGTTCCAATAACTTATTTGTAGGATAATTACTAATAGATAATAGTTTCCTGACGATTTGCGTTTTAAACGTGTTCTATTTATTTATGATCACTTTGACATCCTAAATATTGTTATAAAAATGATGTAATTAACAAATTTATAATATATATATAAAGGTAGTCTTTTTACCTACTACAAAAAGCTACTAATATTTTTAAACAAACATAACATCAATTTCAATGGCTAAATCTACTCGAGCTCAAACAATATTAAAATGCCCTAAATTGCACGAGCTATTAAGTAATGGACTCGAACTTTGTTTATCAGAGCTGCCAACGCAGAGAGATTGTTTACGATATGGAATTTTGTTGCGTGATTAGTTACACATTTATACAAGATATTTGTGTATGCAAATATTTATTAAAATAAAAAGTATTTTGATGTCAGCAAATTCTACAATCCCGATGGTCTCAGAAAAATATGCAGTCGATAAACTTGTCCTTGAATGGAACATTGCAAAAGACATTGAAAAATTGAGAACTACGAAAAAAATAAATATGTATACGGACAAACTTGATAAGCTATTTGACTTGACAAAATGTAAATGCAAAATCTTATGCTGTAATGAAAATGGATGCAATGGTTGTCTTTTTAAAACTCATGTAACTTGCATATGTCGAAAAAGTAGAAAAGATACCTTTGCAAGAACTATTTTTCCTACAAGCTCAAAAAAATAAAATTGGTAACAAAAGTTCTTTACAAATAGGATTAGTTGATATATCATAGAAACATCGGTTAACAAGATATTTGGATCGAAAAGAATCAGACTCTAAAATACCTGGAGCAAATAGTGAGGATATAAGTAAATGCTAAAATATTAAAATTTTTTTTGCCAATTTTTGTTTAAACTGTGAATTAAAAAATTGAGTATAAATTGAATATAAATTATTTTGATTAAAATTATTTAACATAATTTATTTTCTCCTTTAGCAGTAGAATTTCAATCAACAAACGATTCGGATATTGGCAACAAAAAAGCAAAAGATACAGAATAAGATGACTTCAGTTTGAAAAACATTACTTAGATATTACTTGGGTTTCTCAAGTCGCTATTAGCTATGGGGTATCTAACAGAGCTGCTGCTCTTTATTTTTGTTGATCACAACAAAATAAAACGAAGTAATATTAAGTTAATGAAAGAAATCCGAAGTACAGCTGTAACAGTAGCAATGAGTGATAATATTCAATGTATATTTTTTGATGGACGAAAAGATTTAACTAAGTACATGAGAGAAGAAGAAGATGGAAAATTACATCAATCGGAAAAAAAAGAAGAACATTTTTCAGTTTGTTCTAAACCTGCAGGAAAATACTAACTTAATTTCACTAACAATTCTGAAAAAAGAGTAGAGGTTGCAGCTGAGCAAATAGCTGATAATCTTTACGAATGGATTATGAATCGTGATGTTGGAGACTATTTAGTTGCCATAGGTGCGGACTCAACAAATTTAGACACTGGTAGGAAAGGAGGTGTTATCCATTACCTTGAACATAAATTGGATAAAAACTAATGTGGATAGTTTGTGCTCTTCATACAAACGAGCTACCTCTCCGACATCTTATAATTCAGCTTGACGGAAAAACTGCATCTAAAAATAACTTTTCTGGTTCTATTGAAAAACTTATAGGTAAGGCAACTAGTTTCAAAGTCAAAAATAGCATTAAAAAAAATTGAATTTCCTAATGCAATAATAGAACTTGACTCTGAAGTTGTAAAATCGCTATCAGATGGTCAAAAGTATCTTTATCAAATTACCCATGCAATTAACGCTGGGGTTTTTCCGGAAAATCTTAAAGGTAAAGAACTTGGGCCACATTCGCATGCAAGGTGGTTGAATTTCGCAAATAGAATATGTTTACTTTGGTGCTCCGAAATTGTACTTTCAGTTAAAGAAATATATAATCTTC